AACCTTCACAGCGTTTTTGCTGTGAAGTTTACGTGTAAAAATGTGGTCTCACGGGTCTCACGAAAACAGACTGGTCTAAGGTGAACCCAACCCTATATATATATATATATATATGTATGAAACTTTGAATTTCATAGTGCATATCGTGTGGAACATAACACCAAAAGCCCTCCTCGTTTCTTTCAAGATTAAACACCACCATCTGGAAAATGTTTCTCATCTTCTCAATTCTCCTTATCTCTTCTTTCTCCATTTTGATCTTATTTCTCTTGAAACCGCTTTCCTCTTCTTCACAACCCCACAAAAACCTACCACCATCTCCACCAAGGTTGCCATTGATAGGAAACCTGCATCAACTTGGGTCCAGCCCACACCGTGCCCTCCACGCCATGGCACAAAGTTACGGCCAACTCATGTTGCTTCACCTCGGCACCGTACCAGTACTCGTAGCCTCTTCTGCCGATGTAGCTCGAGAGATCATGAAAACCCATGACCTAATCTTTTCAAACAGACCAAAAATAAACATCATCAAAAGACTTACTTATGGCTCCAAAGACATAGCTTTCTCTCAATATGGAGAGTATTGGAGGCAAGCAAAGAGTATTGCTGTGCTCCATATCTTAACCAACAAAAGGGTTCAATCATACCGACAAGTTCGAAAAGACGAGACATCGCTGTTGATCACAAAGATTCAAGAAACCCATGAACCTATGGTTAATTTGAGTGAACTGCTGATTTCTCTTACGAATAATATCATCTGTAGGGTGGCTTTGGGGAGGACATATGATGGGAAGGATTTCAAGAACTTGTTAGAAAGGTTTATGGAGCTACTGGGAAGCTTTAGCATCGGGAGTTATATTCCGTTTTTGACGTGGGTGGATCGGTTGAGCGGATTAGAACGACGAGCTGATGACGTTGCTGAAGAATTCGATGAGTTTCTTGAGGGTGTTATTGATGAACATATCAACAAGACACTGGTTGATATCCATGGCCAAGAGATAACACCATGGCCTTTCATCTTGAAACAGACGAGATCAAGGCCATCATTATGGTAATCCCTAATACTATATATACTTCTACAATCAAACTACAATAAGCCCATTTCTGGGCGAATAAGCACGAAGTAAACATACTAAAGTTATTATGTGAATAAGCCAATTTATCCATTAAGCTCGTTAAGCCTCAAGTAAACACACCTACGTGCATCCAAGTTATGTTTTTGATTTCCTGCAGGATATATTTATTGCTGGAACTGATAGTACGTTCACGAACCTCGAGTGGGCAATCATCGAGCTATTAAGACACCCACAAGCAATGAAAAGGTTACAACAAGAAGCACGAGAAATAGGGCAGGGAAGATCAATGATCAGTGAAGATGACTTGGACAAGATGCG